TCGAAACTGCATAAACTAAACAACTTATCATTTTGCTACCAGGATCATAAACACATAATCTGTCCAAAGAACTTTTCAAAAATTAAAATAAGCAACAGAACCATGCGACCACTGTGTTAATTCACCAACCCCATTTTTTGGGATAAGTCAGAAACATTCAGGTGGATAGCAATGAAATCATAGTGACCTCTGACGTCGCAGCATTACACGCTTTAGTTGGTCAGAAACTAGCAATTACTCTATAGCGATGAACACAAAAACGCAATCTTCAACTTGGATGGAACTCATCGAATTACGCCATACAACATATTTCCTATTCAATATATAATATTCAGATATACTAAGAGATAAAAGGAACACCAGCTGGATTGCCCATATCAAGACTAATAGCTGAAACTGCTATGCAAGGATTATAGTTAATAGTTCACTCGTAACCACACCAAATATCTGGGCGCGTTATGCTGATAATACATTCGTAATAATTAGAGGGAATGATCTGGAACACGCCCAAAATTTAATCAACAACATATTTGAAGACATCAAATTCACAAAAGAACCAGACAATAAAAGTGAATTCCGGCCCAAGTGGCCGAATGGTTGCCGACTTTGGTGTCATAATCTAAAGGTGTTGGGGACGATCCTTGGTGGTGCAGTCCCAAGATATGAAGAAATGGCTGCCTAGCGCTTCCCGGATTTCAATGATCTCCAACTCATGTTGGCCCATGACGAATTCTACATTGAGATTAGTTGGATTCACCTCGTAAATACTGTTTCCACTTTTTTCAGATGTATTTAGTTTGCAACTTTTTTACACTCCATTTCTGTTTCAGGAAACATCCGCCTAGCATTTCTGCTCAACACGTCTGATATCTGCAAAACCCTATAACCAGCATGGACAAATTTAAACCATTGGATGGAGACAGAATATTTTCTATAATGCGATTAGACGACTACTAAGTCCGAATTCCCGCAACCAATTAAATTATTTATTCACTGACTCTCTGAGAGTAATATTCGTGGATGACGTTTTTTATGGTTAAGGTCTATTGTTGTCGGAGGATCCTCTCTTCTGCTTCATAGGTGGTCGATGGGGTCTGAATCAGTGAGTACCCAATATTTGGTCTTCACAGCTGAGTTACCTATTGTTTCTTAGTATCGAACACACTTGAAAACTACCGAAATTCATTTATTCGATTTAAACGTTACCACAGTTAAAATGAAACTAGCTAGCACTAGTTATTCAATTACATAAAGAGAAACCTGATTTTTGATAACAGTTCTTTCCCTTTACCTTACTCGTACAGGCTTAAATACACTAGATCGCTAGAACTAACTCCGTTTTCGAATAACGCAAATCTGTATGCATAAAATAGGCCGCGCTGTGGGCAGCAGGTGGCGATATCTCACTCAGTAGCACTAATGCTTTTCGTTAAAAAAATCCACTAATTTGAAGGGTAGACCACCGAGTAAATGTGGCCATTATTAGAGAGAATATAAGAAAAACGTACGAACTAGGAAGCTATCGTATATTATTCATATCAGAGTAAATATAGTTGCACTTTTATATCATAGTACACTATGATAACATACTTGCTTCGACTCAGGCACGAGCTATACGACTAACTTGAAAATGACTTAACACCATGAAATTGAAGAAAAACTGCGCGACCATGCCTAAACTTGTGAACCTTACTTAAATTAAGTTTGATGGTCTAAGTGACACAAATTTAAGTTTGTTATTCCAGTAGGAATTAATATGATGATGCAATGACTACCGAAACCTTAGTAAAAATGTAACATGACTACAATAAAAAATTAGAAGGTATAGAAACTTAAACAACAGTCGCTCTTACACCGCCATCGTACACTAAGTTTAATAAGGCAGCATACCATCGAAGCACCCTTAGTATCCTACTTTTTGGGGAGAGTAGCAGTAGTAGAAGCGATTTATTGACATGATAGAACCATGTACCACAATGCTAAACCACCTTCAAAAAAGTAAAATACACACAATATGACAATCAATGTTGGCAATGTACTTAGAATGCATCAATTTCAAATGTGGGGTAAGATTTTTACTGATTACGCGATCACTACAACGATAAATATGACGGGAAATACACAAATACACTTTGCTTAAGGAAAATAATTAAGCACTCGAAACAGAGTTAAAAGTAACAATCAAACAGTGATACACATATATCGGCTACAATATCAAGTCATTTGATAGTAGTCCTAGCACATAAGATGATTTAATGTAGAATAAACCAAAATGAAATGGAACACTCATCTTATACTACGTGGATTTTTGCCAGTGAACATTCCTACCGAAGCAACCGTTTAATAATCCAGCATAAAAAGTATCCACATGACAAAGTAACCACGTCAAATAAATTATGCCGATACAGAGGACTGCATGAGACTAGCTTTGTTGCCGACGGTTACCTCTTTGATCCGACCGCCACTCACGAAATTATCATCATATAAGAAAAAAAATTATCCCATTAGGTAAACTAAAGAGCAGTATAAAAACAAAAACCACGCGAATGAACGAGTTGAATTATAGTATAGCAGCAAAATAGAATTTTAAAACTTTCAGCCTGGATCGAACCATCACTAAAGCAAGGAAAATGGATTCGTTTACGCATCAATACAGAATAATTCGTGATCGAAAATTAAATATACAACAACAACCATACATGAAATGAAAACGGCTACGCTAAAGTCTTCGTATCACGTGTACACTCTGCTACACACCGTACAGCATAGGCACAAAGGTATGCGGCAGAAAAAATGAAATAAATAATAACTAGTGAATGCGCTAACAAGTCGTTGTGTAAATGTACCTTTCTGATTTGTTTAAGTTTACCTACTTTCAAATCATGTCAGTGATGTGCTTCATTCACTTAGGCATTCAACTTGCACCAAGAAGGGCTAGAGTTTGAATCCGTTTCAATTCGGTCTGAGTAACCGAACATACCTTAACAAATGTCATTCGTACCCTCTAATATAATAATTCCATTTTGAGTAACTGACTTCTAAACATATGATTGAATGGGTTTATTTCACAGAACCTAAGGCTACGGTACTGAGGTGTAAGGTAAGCAAATATATATAACCTCTGGTAAACAACTCCACAGCCAAATTATAATACATCAACCCTCTATGAAATGGATACACTTATCAAATTTAATACTAAATAATGCTAATCACGAAGCTACGTATTGCGACCATCGCTATGTATTTTTTAATGATTTCCCATGTCATACGTACACATTTCAAAAAAACAAAAATGAGACCGTACACTGAAGATAGATCATAATTTCGGTTGACCGGCAACATTTGCAACATCATTTTACTCGTGAACGTGAGGAACTGAGACTTAATATATATGCTACCAACTTCAACAACTAAGCATACTTCAAGCGCAATAAAATGAACACAAAACTACCGCTACACCACACAACTCATTTGATCCCTAATATATACATCCAAAGTTCTCGTTTCTATTTAAATTATCTACATTTGAACAGATAATAGGAAAACCCCTCACATGTGTTATACACACTACTAATTTATTTCAGCACGGCTTTATAGCCGACCAATGCTTAGCTCTTTATGACTATCGTCAGTTTCATAAGCAAAAAACTGTCCTGCTATTCGTTTTCAGTTTAATTTGCGATTCCAGTTGGTTGGTTATGTTCAACCGAAATACTTTCTCCTTTGTCATACTGGTTCCTACGAAGGATGCGTCCACGATATCCAAGGATGAACGTCAAATTATTTTGGTTGATGGTGACCAACAGCGGAATCCACCAAATTTCGAAAAATTGTGGTGTTAATTAAAAATGTGTCTGAAGTGAGACTAGTTCATCAGTAATTTTTAAATCATCGATATTTTTAACGCAGCTGATAGGCTCTAAAGCTCACTGTCGAGCCAACAAAAGTATGACTAAAATGGACATAACACAGTTATAGTGAAATGCTCATGATGATAATAAAACAAGTTATCATGTAACTCAACAATGCGAAGAAACTCTCACAGGGAAAATTATACACAAAATTGGATGAGTACACTAACGATAACACCAAAACAAGAATTTATGCCTACATACATCACAGGACAAATTATGTGAATTGGTTTTGCCGTCGTCCTTGCTTTCGTCAAACGAAAACTCTCGGAAGAAAAGACCTAGTGCAAATAGATCTAGGAAAAGATTTCACAATAATCGGTAATCCCGTAGTTTATACCACTTTTACGAATTGCTGTGATTTAAAGTGATCTGTCCAAAGTATTTGCTGACATCAAAATAAAATAAGCAGGTAAAATGAAAAATATTTAATAAATGCACAGTTTCAATTTCGATTAGATATGCAAATGAGAATACCTAAGAGTACGAACAAAAATTGCATATTTAACAGTGAAAAGAAAATAACAACTGTGAAAGTGTTAATTATTTATACCATTAAGACTGTTGCACATCTGTTCGATTGGGATAGACAAAATGTCATGTGTCTGCGTACACGCTGAAATGTGAGTATGAAATGCAACACTTGCAAATTCACTGTAATGTAAACACAGTTGGAAAATATTAACTTTGTAATTGAAAGTGTATAGGGTATAATAAACTTTTATTGGTGAAATGAAATGTTTGCACTAACTAGTGTGATATACAGAATTTCTCGATCAGTTGACGTGGAGGATGTGAAACAAGTGACTGACTACCCCCATCACAATTGGAATAGTCTAATGCAACCCTAATCGACTAGTGTTGACTTGCTTTGACTAACAAAACAAAACGGAAATAAGCTTCATATAATCGGAAACATGCATAAAATGAAGTCGCCTTTTAATTTCGGAAAACTATTGGGTTCTAATCTGTCTTCACTTGGAAAAAACATACTTTCTCTTAAATTCTACTACTACTTTCCACTTATTTCAATAAACTGTCACATAAAGGAAACAAGATGCGAATCGGTTTTTTAAATGATTAATCATATAAGTAGTTTTAATATTTTATTTCAGCTTTAATTTGTGACAGCAACGCAGTGATTAGATTCTGTTAGTTTTTTTAAATGCACTAATTAAAATGTTTGCGACTGATGATTAAAGGAAGAAGAATGAAGGAAATCATCAGACGAGATTGTTCTGGTTGTTGTTCAAATTAATGACAGCCACAAAAGAAATACATACAACAATAAGACAGACTGAGTTAGACGAAAACTTACAAACAACCTATGGAAATACACTCAGAATAGACAACACCCAAAAAATAGCTGTTGATAAATACCAAATGCAAAAATGACATGCAGATGGGTAAAATACACACACACACACACACACACAAACACACCGGAGAATTAGCTCAGCAAAAAACGGTTAGCATCAAGAATATATTGCGACAAAAATGCCATCATAATTATAGATAACAGTTATGAATAAGTTAAAGCATTCATCAAGCAAGCAATAAGATAGGAAGAGATACACACACCAATTAAAATATGTCTAGGATGTATTTCATACGCGAAGACCAATTTTTTAACAAATAATGAATAAGATGACAATATATGCATAAATTGAATTAGATTTACGTTGCGAATTGTTGTGTGATTGTTCAGCTTCAATATGCGATTATATGTTATAGATTGAATGGAAAGTGCGATTGCGTTGACTGATGTGCCACAGGAATCACCATATGGGGTATATGATACTAGGTTTGGTAACAAATGCTGTGTTCTTTTGTTATTTTCAACCAACAGTCTGATGAGGAAACAATGAACAATTAGAGCATGGATATTTTTTTAGCTTGTAAAGTATTTTGGAATGTTAGTTTGACCATGAAGTAACAATAAATGATTTGCCAGTTATGTATAGTAATGTGAACATTGAATGAGTATTAAAATAATTTCATCAAAATGTAATTAAAATATTGGGCACAAAGATTTGGTGGAATTTTGTCATTAGTAAATGAGGAAAATCACTTATCCTAGGGAAAGCCAAAGCATCTTAAATACAACGACTAAAATAACAAGACTATACGGAAACCTGAGTTACTTTAATAGTGTTATACTAGCATTTTATACACTTCAAAAACCTTAAAGAGAAGCTCTGATTTAACACTGTTCACAATTAGGACCAGTGTGTTACAAAGAACATTGTTAGTGACTGAAAAATATTTTCAGTTACTAAAAGTATTTATAGTACTCAACCTGAAAACTAGGAATAATCTGCAGTCGTTAATCGCATCAATGGTGACTGTCATACTTTGAAAGGAAGACTAAAGTATACTAACAACAGCAGACATACAGCTACATGATAATAAGAGATCTGCCAAGTAGTTCATACAAAAAAGAATCAAATCCCACATTACCTTCAACCAGTGATGTATGACAATACTCTAAAAGGCCCACAGATTCCTAATAAATGTAGTTATCTGTGTACATTGGAAGTTACATTACAAAATCCGATGGCCTTATATTCATATATGATGGATTTATGACAACAGTTGAGTGAATATTAAATCTGCAGGGTAATTGCACATTTGTGTGTACTGTATATATGATAAGAATAAAGGTTTATGTTTTGTCATGAATAAGTTTAAAAACAAAATCTTGAATTTGGTGAATTCAACATTTTTGTGATTTACAACTCAGTGAATTTATTGTCTATAATATAGTAATGTTAACAACATGGTTGTCTTGTACTATATTTGGGATCGTTTTATTACTTGTTTTTTTCGCACACTTTGTTGCACTAACAGAGAAAAAATCTGATCACGCACATTAGTTTACATAGAGAGGGGATTCAAACCCAACGAAATATTGAGAGGACTAACGTTTAACTTTTATAGGAATTAAAAGCGTCAATAAAATTAAATTCACTAAAATAAAAAGCACTTTAAACGGAATTATTTAAACTCAGGGAAACAAAAGCTGTTTGAAACTGATTGTGAAAAACATATGAATATGAGAACGTGAACATATTCTGTCAAAATAAACAATTGTGAAACTAAACAGCTATATAACTTTCAATTTTGTAAACTAGTATATTTCAACACATAAATCAAGGCGACCGAAGACCAGTCGAGTTGTTAGTCGAAACTGATAGAATATAGTAGCAAGCCATGTGCACACATTATCCATTACTGACTTCATATATTCGATTTTCAACAAATCGATAAACCCCACTTCATGATGATTATGATAACAGCTATTGATATGCTTTATTGTTCATTATCACTAACCGACCTAGTGAAGTTATATGTCCGGTGAATGAGAAATGCGATCACATGTATGCAGGTTTCAACAAGTTCTCGTAAATACGTATCACTCGTCCACGCTGTAGTATCATATTTGTCTTACGAGCTCACCAGCCGTTCAATTGTAGCCAGTTAACTGCAGTACACTGTTGATAAAAATAAGTATATATTCTACTAACAAACTAGTCAGTTTGTATATTGGAAAAAAATGCTTTAAGAAACAAATAAACAAAGCTACAGATAGAAAAATTATTTTAAAAACAAGGTTATAAACACAGGAGTTATATTTGACATTGTTGTGCCGGGAAGATTGATTAAGTTATACTTAACTATGCGAACGTTACGCTGAACCTCAGTAAAAGTAGTAACTGGGTGAACAGACCATCCGGTAATCCCTGTCTTTCGATGATTATAAGAAATGGTTACTTTTAACACTCTAAGCTTGACATAGTGTGATAAATCAACCCTAGTAGACTTGACTGTTGACAAAATCTCAGTCGAGATATAAAGGGTTTAGTGACATTTCTCAACTTACGCCATCCCTGGCGCAGACGTGACATCCGGCTATCGATCAAAGGACGTACGTTGCACACTTCGCTCTGTCCTTCTTTACGGCCGCGAAGCGTAGCTATTTGGAAAAGAAACGCGAAGGGGTTAACTGTCTTCGATTACAAGTGTTTACGTTTCTATCCACCTTCTAATGTTAACTGGTACCCTATATTATAAATGAGGTTAGGCGTAGTGTTAGGCAAGGACGGAAAACAAATCTATGAGGTGGCTGTCAACCTGTATAGATTGAGAAGACTACGATGCATATCAAACCATAGCATTCCTCATCGACAAATTTTAGCTGAGATAAGCATAAGTTGGAAGAAATTAACGGGTGGTTAAGTCTAAACGCGAACTCAATCCGGGAAGTCTTTGACTGCCGACTTAAACCATGTAGGAGGGTGTGAACTGCCTAGCTGCAAGGGGACAACAGTTGGAGGCTGTTTGTAATATGTCCAGAAATTGTTCCCAATCACGCAGGTGTATACACTCTCTGTGAACTACTAGATTTATCAAACTGTGATAATTCTCCATGTAACTATCCTTCCCCCCCCCAATACACTTCTGTTTATCGGTCCTTTTGACTTTTTTTTCTTTCTCTACATATGTGCGCTATAAAGAGTGTGGCAAATGGAAATGCTCCGCTTTTGTGAAAATTTCTACGTTGAAAACTCAGTAGGACAAAATTTAAGTATTGAGGACTACTGTTAACCTAGTAGATAAACTCAAAGTCCGTTTACACCTTACTTTTAATATTTTCTAATGAGACTACACAAATTTATCACAAAAAGAAGCAAGGAGAAAAATGAACAAAATGAAAGCTGAAAGCTAGTTAATGGTACGTTAAAAATTCTGATATATTTGCATCAATATTTAATTATCCTTCTTAAAAGTCTCCAGCCAGGAAGTCCGCAATCTCCTAGACAGCTCATATCAGTAATCACGGACCTCAGAGAAGCTGCCATTTTGTTATTGGTAAATTCTACGCTATTTAACAACCTAATTATAATACAAATAGCTTTGTTCAGTGCAGAAGATAAGTCAAATTCATGGGTTTCTGGATTATGATGCTGAAACTATTCAACAAGAATATAAGCTAATGCATCATCATACGCATATGCCACAACACAATCACTAAACGCATTATACGTTCTAGAAGTACACTGTTAGCATGCACAAATAAATGTTCAATGAGGTCACTATGTGATTATTCGTAGATGAAAGTAAAATTATGAATGGCGTGAACAACTCCCAATTCAAAATATTACGATAAAGGTGAGACAGTTTACAGTGTGCACAAAGGAAACCATACTTTCAACGGACGGGAATAAGAGGTTTTACAATTCCAAGATACACTGCTAGTACAGTGAAATTCAGTACACGTGTATGCCGAAAATAAGGCAATGTGAATAGTGATTAACTAACCAATCATGAACACAAAATTATTGTATAATATACATTATTCACCTAAAGCAACTACGAGTTGGCAATTCATGAGGCCTAACGACCTTAAAAGTGTGAATAAGTACAAAGTATCTGATGGAAAATATTGTGGTGTTTTCAGTTATTCTTTGGAGACTCCCAGTAACACATCTCAAAATCAATCACAGTGGATCGTCTTGCAAACAGTGCTGTAGTCCAAGCTTTTACACTTCGAATACGTAAAACATAATTATTAACGCTTAAGAGGAAGTAATTACAAAGTTTTTTTACCACAGTTGAACTCTAAACTTAGTGAATTGCATGCAGTGCTATTCAACAGAATGTTGTGAAAGTTGAAAATTGGCAGAAAGGTTAGACGCTTTAAACACACACTAAAGAAGTTTCAAATAGTTAGTAAAAGCATGGCGCACCGAGAAACTGCCAAATAATATTGCAGCTAAAACAAACAGGAATTTGCGATAACAGAAGGGCAAACGAGAAGTTTAAGAATGAGATAAAAATACAAAAAAACAATTAACATACCTATAAACTATTCATATTCGCTAGAATCAACAGATGCAGCCGACTTTCCTAGAGCTGACGATCCCATTTTCTTTGAACCCGGAAAAGCACGATCATTGACCGCAGAACTGGAGAACGAAAGTTTCAAAAGAAATGGATAGCGACCCTCGGTGTTAGGAATAGCCTGATGATTGCACAGTGCAAGAGCGGTAACCGCTTCATCCTTAGTTCCCCACTCGACTAGACCTGAAGAAGATCTGTCGCTCACTCTTGGGAAAGGTGCAATTTGTCTGTCAAAAATCCACAAGAAAAATAAAGCAGAAAATGTATCAAGGAATATTTCATGCAGTGAAAGTAGCTTACTAAGGTTTATAACAAATAGAAAAGTGATCCAATTCAAGTCCCCATAATTTATTTCACTTCAAGAAATTCACACATCATAACAACCGATTTGTTCAAGACTAGTTTCTTTCATCAAAATTAGTTAGCGCCTTCACAACTATGAAAGCACATCCTATCAATTACAAGTTCTAAGAAAGATCAGCTGAACGACCATTGCAAACAAGACGGTCTAAGTATCTGTCTGTCTGTCTGTTTTCGACATAGAACTTTGCACAAATGTGCGGAAGTTCAAGTCGCCACACTCCGTGTAGCACGCGAAGCAAGAGAAGAAAGTACAAGAAAAGCATAATAGAAACAGTGAGCAGAGGTGTGAGACAAAGGAGTAATAAAGAAATACAAAACAGTTTCATTGAAGATCATAAGTCACAGGGAGTGGATGCATCTGCGCCACTGAGAACGGTTTTGAGCCATGTCACCAATTGTTTCCAACCATAGATTTTTACCGTCCCGAGGACCCCAGCCTGGAAGTCTACACCTTCCTACGTGGCTTAGACCAACTGTTGTGGATTTCATTGACTGATGCCAAGTTTTTGTTTGACCGCCGCTAGCTTTTTTCCAGCCTGACCCTATATCCGCTAACATTGCTCGTCGAGGGAGGCGATGGCTTGGCATACGTAACACATGTCCTAACCATCTCAGTCTTTGTAGCTTCACGACTTCGTCGATTGATTTCCCCTGTTTACCTAGAACTCTACGCCTAACCTCAATGTTGCTCACCTTATTATGCCACTTTACACGGGAAATAGAACGCAGGCACCTATGATCAAAGACAGCTAGTCTTTTCATGTCTTCCACTCTCAGTGGCCAGGTCTCACAACCATAAAGGAGGACGGAGCGGACTGATGAGCAGTACACCCGCCCTTTGGTCGATAGTCGAACATCTCGTCTACGCCAGAGTCGGCGTAAACTGGCAAATGCGAAACGAGCCCCTTGTATTCGTGCTGAGATTTCGTCAGAGATCAGCCCGTTGGGGCTGATGGTACTTCCCAAATAAGTGAAGCGGTCAACGTGCTCTACCACTTCACTTCCTATTTTTAAACTAGGCGTCGATGTAGTCCAGTCCTGTAACATCATCTTGCATTTGGCGGGAGCGAATCGCATGCCAAACATTCGTAGATTGCGGCTCAAGGTGTTTAGAAGACTCTGCATTTCGTCAGCGTCTTCGCCTAGAAGGACTATATCGTCTGCATATTCCAAGTCAACGAGATTATTCCCCGGTAGCAAGTCAATCCCTGAGTCGCTGAAGTCACCTAGGGTTAAGTCCATTAACACATCTATGATGAAGTTGAATAGAAAAGGAGATAATGGGCATCCTTGACGGACACCACTGGTCGTCATCAGTTCAGATGACAGCTCGCCGTAAGCCCTCACCTGGCTGTATGAGTACGAGTAGAGTGCCTTAATCAGTGCAATATATTTTCTCGGAATTCCCTTTACAGCCAAGCATCTCCAGAGAACTTCCCGATCGACAGAGTCGAATGCTGCCTTTAGGTCAAGAAATATAATGACTGTTGGACGCCGGTAGGAATGCCTATGTTCTAGAATCTGTCGGAGGGTGAAGATATGATCAATACACCCTCTTCCTGGTCTAAAGCCTGCCTGGCTCTCTCGTGTTTGTGCTTCCCGAGCACCACTCAGTCTACGCATGATTATTGAGCCTAAGACTTTAGATACTATATTAGTCAAGCTAATCCCTCTGTGATTATCACAGGAAGACTTGTCTCCCTTCTTGTATATGGGGATAATCAGTGACTTACACCAACCCGATGGGACTTCTTCTGATTTCCAGACGCTGCCTAGTACCTCAGTTAATCCGGACAGTAAGCTGTCTCCACCGTACTTAAATACCTCTGGAGTCATTCCATCAGGTCCCGCTGCTTTGCCTAGTTTCAGATTGGTGACAGCTTTAGTAACCTCAGTTAGTGACGGAGGACCTGTGTTTATATCCCATTCAGGGAGGTGTTGGATGCTCGGAAGGTTGAGCGTGGCTGTGGGCAAATTAAACTGCTCCTCATAATGCTCTTTCCAACGATCCAGTCGTCTATCCTGGGAGCTAATTATAGTGCCATTTTTTTCCGAGATTGTCTCACTGATGATTTGTCTTCTCCCACCCGTTTCCCTGATGAGTCTAAAGAGTTGCTGGTGTTGCCTATCCTCGAAGCTTTCTCCATCTCTTTGGCTTTTGTCGCCCACCACTGTTCACGGTCCTTGCGGAGACTTTTCGTAAGTTTCCTCTTGTGCAGCTTTCGCTCCTCATTGATCCTCATTTCGATCTAAGTGTACAAAACATCCCCGCAATTTAATGGCTATTTTAGACTTACAGTACTGAAAATTCGAGTCACACCCGTAAAGAATGTTGTCCAGTCGAAAGTACCTTTTTCAGTGACCCTATATGCAGAAGTAAAAACAGCCGGAACAAATATGCTGAAAGAGTGCCAACACCAACAGAGTGAGACGTCAGGAGCTGATGAGGCGTTTTCTGTTCCTCTCAAGGTATCATTGAATATCAAAACACCAGGAATCAAGAAATTTCTAGAGCAGGTGGTTTATGCATTCAACCAGTTCACTCATTACTGCCATGTGCATTAATAACAAGGCAGAACAATCCTGAAAATGGTATTTTCATCTAAATGTTGAGAATTAAATACCAAGCATTACTAATTTACTAGCCCAAGTATTTAGAAAACTTGACGACCTATTAATATTTTCACCTAGTAAGATTATTTGCTTTGTCAACACGTGGGGAAAATTGATTCCTGTAGAATCGTGACAAGAGATAGTGTTTACAAAAATTGAAAGTATAACTTAAAATGACACACCTCCTGAGTTAGCCCAACTATAATGTTAAAAGTATGAATTCTGCTAACTAATCAATTCGAACTCGTAGCCTATGGCATGAAAGAACAATAATCCTTCAATAACCTTATAATAAGAATTACATTTTTCTAATCTTGTAACTGGAAATCTACACACACATTGAATCAAACTGCGATAAATAAGTTCTGATAAGAGGAATTCATTATCGAAATCCTTATATTGAGAAGACGGCTCGCAAATAGTTGCCCAATTAGTTAGCAACATTGAACAGAAAAATATATAGTAATAATAACTTCTGTAACTCTAGTTATTATTCTTAGAAAAGACAAAGGGAGGAAAAAATTACAGACCATCACATATATACATATATATAAATATATATATATTGCCTAAATAAATCCCAACATACCGAGGTGGAGAAGCACCGCACTCAATAACTAATTTTCGAAGTTCATCTGCTGTATAATTCGGAGGGCAATTCCAATAATGTAAAGTATAAGATGGTGGATAAATACGATTTTTACTAGCCTTATCAGGATTTATGTACCGATTTTCACGACAACCGGAATAGTCTTTGAACGACGGTGAGCCATCCGGCAATTCGAAAGGTTTTGGTACATCTAATATAAGTTGCTGCTTGCTCGGACGAATCTGGAAAATCAATCAACGACAGAAGTTATTCAAATTATTCACTTCACAAAGACAATTAGAAATAATTTAAAAATCATACTGAAATGTCTTATAAGTGGGTTTTATTTAACGACTTGTGAGAAGATACGCTTGTGGTTTCGAGCAGTTCAGCTGGATCTCCTCACCAAAATCCTTCACCATCCAATTCCTGTCTGGAATGGATGTGGCTAAAGCTGTTTAATCCATCGCTACTCAACGAAACAAAGCAGCATGCGACTGTTTTAGTGTGAAATATATTTAGGCATACTGCAACTGAGAACTAGACCACAACAAAAGTTCACAATTTCATAGATCAACAGAAAATACTCTAGATATTAACAACAAACAATTAAAGTAGATTATCAAAAGATAGTAAAAAGGAAATCGTACCGACAATGCATTTCCCATTAGTGGGACTTCTGACAAATTAGTAATGACACGATCAACACTAACGTTATCGCCCATTTGCGCCATAGCTGATCCTTCCTTTGTCCGTAAAAATTTAATACGGACCACATTTCCATAAAGACAAAGAAGATTGAATAAACTGAAAGAAAAATTTGAAAACATAAAATTGTCATATGAAACTAGCACATATGTACATGCACATGTCTATCCAATCAATATTTGACGTCACTTCATTAGGTTCTGAAATCAATATTCCAACTACTTTAGCTCCGAAAACACAGGTTATATAAAACTCCACAGATTTCTATAACAACGATACAGCAAGGAATTATGACTCAATGGGAAAAAAAAGATAAGAACAGGATGACTTTACACCAGAGGAAATAATCTAAACAGTACATCTTCCTTGAAATGTCTAATTTTATTATTTAGATCAACCACTATGATCCGAGAACGTCGGCGGCACAGTAGTTAGGACGCTCGCCGACCATGCACATGGTCTGGGGTTCGATCCCCAGCCACGGACACACTCTTTTACCGCGGTAAACCAGAAATAATGCTGGTAAAGAGGAGAGATTGGGCATGAGGCTACCAAACCCATACTGTAAAATTAAACACTGCTACAGAAACTTCAAGGCACTAGCTTGAGGCCATATGTTCCACTGGGGACGTGAAGAAGAAAAACAAATACGACCCGTAAAACTATGATCGACTTTTGGTTTTTGCCATTAATTTTATAGGGGACTAGAGATTTACATGTCGCGACATTGGTAAATATTCAAGTTTCTTTATAAAACCAAGATCAATATCCATAAAGAAAAAATATACAGAATCCAATATATAACACATTTCATAAATCTACCGCTTACTGACACAGAAATACCTAAACCGAAGTATTTAATCGTGGTGAGGAGACCGAATCTTCACAAAGTCGTTCACGCCTTAAAACGTATATTCTCCCATGCATGATAAAAGGAATGTCCCAAGACCTAAAATACTGTAAATCCCACATTACATTTGTGCTACAAAGCCAACTGATTTAGTTGTCTAACTGACTGGGAATGGATGGAAGGGTCGGAGGGATGACTAAGTATAACACAGGATGAAAGGTTTTTGGGTCAGGTACGGTTCAAGGGATGAAGCAACTCAGCGGCTTCAGGCATCATCAGATATAAGTCAAAAATTATACTGATGGAGAATAAGCTGATATCTTATTCTTCTACCTGGTAATAAACTGTGAAGTAATGAACCTATGTCTGCATGTATTCAACAGGTATGACTGTCTGTAACGCCCTGCTTTTGAACTGTCTTATTTCCCCTTATATTTTTATTAAATTATCTTGTATAAAACATTCCTTTGTGCTCATACTACGCCACTAACTAATCGAACAATTTAGCAACCTAGGACTTCGCACAAAAGTGAATCAATTCAAGTTGCCACATTTTGGGGAGAAATACAGTATAGGAAAGCAACGTGATAAGACTACAATAGGCGAATGATTAGTATCATACTACACCACGTGTGTTGAAACCAATAAATAACAAATGCTTGGATATGGATCTAAATGTACAAGTCAAATGTTTCAATTTTCTATATGTTACAGTTGGAATTTTCCATGAATTAAAAAATGCATATTTCCCTTCATGTAGACCTTCTTTTGTTCATATCTCACAAAGATCTCACTAGCAACACGTAATCGCTAATTTCCTCTCTTAAAATGGGCCGATTGCAACGGCAAAGATCCATTCAATTATCAAAATTCTGAACATCCTCTCAAGTCCTCATGCACGATTATCTATTGTGCTACATCTAAATATCTATGCTGTTTTCCCTTCTCGAGTTTCACGTTGTAACCCCGGAAGTATCAAGTATAAACTTTTATTCAAACCCACCCTTTCAGAAATATTTCGGTGTAGTTAGTTCCATCATTTTTGCAGCTTATTTCAAATCCACACCTGGTATTTCCTGTCCTCGCCATTGGAAATCACTCAACATTCACCCACTTTCTAGTAACTCATAGCATTTATGTACATACTATTATATTGTTGTAAGCCCACACTTCCTCAGATGCTTATTGTTCTGGGGGTTGTCCTCTATCAGTGTAGGAAAATGAAGTAGCATACAATGGTGAATATATTAGTTAATTCATTTACACCCAAGGTTTATGTTGATACGCCTAACTTCCTACCAAAACGTAACAATTTGGAGTACCTCAGTATTTGCTTTTAAGCGATACGCTCCACTATCTTTGACGGCAAAGTGATACTTCTGTCGCCTACTCTTATTGGTATCCCTATTTTGACTGCAATATCATTTCTAAAACTGTTGCTTACATCGTAGCAACCCAGACAACTTGCTTACACGAGTGTCAAAAAGCTGCGTGCCAAATGATACAAACCATAATCCATTTAAATCGAAATGGCACAAAACGAACCAAGTCTAGTGTGGGGCGGCGCTGGCAAAGAGAAAGCTTCCAACACAATAAGCAATAGGTCTACGGAAGTCAAATACTTTCAAAGTCTGGAACTAAATATACTCCTGGTATACTTCTTTTGAATGTGGTCTTCACAGACGACGTAACAAACACAATTAACTTCGGATTTTCACTGTCGGGTAAATTAAATTATCGAATGCGAAGTAAATGCAGTCAGCGAACCAGCTGCACATGAACCCTGTCAAAGTAAATACACGATATCCTGAAGATCAAACGTAGTCACTTACCGGTCACAATTCATATGATCCATGTTCATATTATACACCATAATGACAGGCGTGGCGGCTCTGACGTACTGCTGACCGTTTAAGCCATCAAAACCACGTCTTGACACATGATAGTTTAGTGCGAGCTGATCCAAAAATGAAGCAGGTGGGACACTGATACCAACATTATTCTGTTTCATGAAGTTATCGTGATATCCGTAACCTCCATTAATAGACCTGGAACTTTCATGCCTTGCACGAGAACGCTCAAAGCGTCCTAATTTATAGAGATAACTGTAATGTACACTTACCTAACAATGAGATATCTCCTCGACCATCTGTATCATTCATTGCGGCTGACATAAGTAAAGGGTTTTCGAAATCCCATGAGTCTTGATCGTTTCGAGTTACAGTTAGGCGAGTCGGACGAGCAAATTCAACTTTCAAAGTGCAGCACCCAGAGTAGATATCAGCTCCGTTTAGGTGACGTTTTGCAGTGCGAGCTTCGTCAGTACTTTTGAACTCAACCATAGCCTTAGATAAAATAAGAGTAGATATGTAAGTACCTGTATTCTGGCCTTGCGGAGAATGACAATGCGCAAAACACGACCATGCTTAGCCGTGATCTGATGAATAACGTCTACTGTGATAGGATACTGTGCATTGTAAACGGTCAACAAGAGAACACGGCTTTCTGGAGGTATATCAGGATGCTGTCCATCATTTTCCAAAGGTCGATGTATTACTCTTTTAGAAGTGCTGTAATTTACTTTCAACCGATGGTTAGCAAACATTACAGCATTTTCCGAGCACCTTGACAATAAACTATGGGAAGAAATTCACAACTTACCTAGCAACTGCCCTCTCAGCACAATTAATATCATCAAATTCGATCAAAGCTTGACCCTTGTGGGGGATCATGGCAATATCCCTGATGGAACCAAACTGCTCAAAAACGCGTAATAAATCAAGCTCTAGTGTATGTTCAGGCAATTCTCTTATATGAATGACAGGGGAGGGCTCTAAATCCTCCCAATCTTCAGGCCTATTCCTTTTGCGATTCGCCATCACAAGGTGAGTTTGAAATCTATGCATTGAACATTGGCCAAACGAACAAAGCATGATGGCTTTGTTTCGGATTCAGACCTTCGGTTGAGGAAAAAAGACTTAAAGCATGTGTTAGTCTTTCAATGAACATAAATGTTTGACTAGTCCCTCCTTGAATGAGTTGATTTAGGGCGCAAACATTACTACTTCTAGGTCCTGATTTATTGGCTCAGTGAAACTGCCAGTATTCCAAAGTGATGCAATTTCCCCTTGACACTTGTACAATCTTGTTATGTCTTTTGAGATATCCTGGCCGTGTGGAAACAAAAAGAGAAGGTATATTAGATAAAGAATCGGTTTTTAGAATCTTGGCAAACGTAACTCTACTGCCTATGATGCAACAAGGACTATTAAGTGGTTCCTAACATGATAAATTGGTTATAATGAGTAAACATAAGTACTGCGGTATAAAAGACATGCTTTTCTGGATGTATTTTGGTTCTGACACAAATAGTGACATGCATAGGGTAATGAATATCGCATTTTTCCAATTAACAAATGGCCATTGTGTTGCTGGTAAGATCTTAAGGCTGACATATATCACTGCGCGACAGTGGTCTTCAGGTTGCAGATTTTCATGATACCTAGATCCATGTACCCCTGAAACGAGGGGACTGACACTTGCGTGCAGTGTACACACGGCTTAGTATTTTGTTACGCTATTGGGAAGGATCAATCATTCGGAATGACATCAGATTTCTGGGATGTTTCTAGAATAGGCACTCCACTATAATCCCTCAGTTCTTTCGAAGTTCTTTAAGTCAGATGAATAAAAAATCATAGGAGACAGCAAAACTCAGTAATTCCATCATATACATCGTAAATAAAGGGGATCGAGCACAGTACCCGTGGCACACCCCTAAGCACCACTGTCCACTAATGAAGCTACGATTCGATCTTAAATTTCTTCCTCTTTGGTAAGGAATTGTCTGATGTAGCTCAGAAGGCAGCTATCAATTCCTAAGCTCTCGGTTTCGTGAGTGATCCTGTGTGGATCACTTTGTCGAAAACAATATTGAAATCTGGGAAGATAACCTCGATCGATGAGTACTTGCTATCCCTAAATTTGGCCAAAATTTCCCCAACTGTGAGGAAGTCTCACAGATACGGCAGCCATTCTGAGATCTTGGTAACAACTTGATGTTTTCCATGTGTGTTATGACAGTTTCTTGAGTTATTCCCTGTAATATCTTGATCAGTGTGCTATTAAGGTTAATAGGCCTGTGGTTTGAAAGAACTTGACCGGATTGAAAATAGTTACTATCCGATCCTCCCATTCAGACGGTAACGCTCTGTGCGAGAGTTGTAGTCTGAAGGATTCAGTTAGTAGGCCAGTAAAGAGAGCGATTAGCTCCTTGAGAAGCCTTAAGAGAAGATAATGAGGCGCCTATGATTTCTCCGTAATACGTTCTACTAAGGATAGAAATACGATGGCTCTTGTTGATGCGAACAGATTCTATCCCGCCTTTCATGTGGTCAAGATAAGCGCTTTTGCGATCTGATAAGCATGGTGCCTCCTACTTAGTCATTTTGTAAGTAAGCCTAGCATTTTCTGGGGAAGGTATTTGACGAGAAGTTCGGGAAAATCGAAGTGAAAATTCTCAATATCTCCACATACTCTAGTCTCTCTCGTTTTTATTAATCAATATCTACTAGTGTGGTGAGAGCAGGCTGCTAGCCGATTGGTTGACACTAATCTACGTTAATGTCTAGGTCACTAATATGGGCCGTGAGAAAATATGAACAAGGCTGTTTCAACAACCAATCACAGCAAACTTAAACGTGGACAAATATGATTCGCAGATAGATGGCTCTACTTTCCGAGAAATATCGAAAACAACCAATCATAAGACTGTGTTTGTCTGCTTAACTTCCGTGAAACAACCAATCAGAAGACTGCCGTTTTCTGCTTGCATAAGCCTTATTAATGTACATAAAATATATATAAATACGTGTTGATTTTCGCAATAAAACGATCTGTTGCCAGCCCTTGTCTTCTGTTGTTACATTTGGTATCGCTGCCTCCAGAAAATGAAGATCCCGTTGCCAGCTGCGTTTGAAGAAGGAGACATACGGAGCTTCTTACGTGACTTCGAGGCCGTTGCTGAGCTGGTGGGTGTCAAGGAGCAGGCGGCGAAGGCAGTTGTCCTGGGGACGCTGTTGAGAGGCCGAGCGAAGGCGGCATATGACAGCGTAGACAGGTCAAATGGCACAGCGTCTTGGAAGAAATTGGTTGAACGACTAGTGTCCGAGTTTGACAGCGAAACAGACAGACAGCTAGCAATGCAGAAGTTCCGGTCAACGAAGCTGGGACCTGATGGAGACCCGCTAGTGTTGGCGGTGAAACTGACGAATCTACTTCGACGCGCGCTTCCCACTTTGGATGAAGAATCAGAAGAGCAGTTACTGTCTTCCCAATTCATCGAGAGTGTCCCAGACCACATTTCTCAGCGATTAAAACTGGTTAACGCAACGCAGCCAATGGATATTAGTGAGCTGGTGAAGGTGACCAGACAGCTGCTGAGCACAACGGTAGCCACTATAGACCAACCAAAACCAAACGAATATGAGCAGAAAATTGAAGCATTGCAGAGGGAAGTGGCGGCGTTTAAGTTGGCTGATAGAAAAGACCGATGTTTTGAATGCGGTAAGCCAGGACACTGGAGAAGATACTGCCCAGAAAGGCGAAAAAGAAAGAGTTTCAGACGGTATAATACTTGTTCTTTCTCTCGTATGAAACTAGACTTAGTGGGGGCTATTGAGAAAGGGGCTGTGTATTCGAAGTTGCGAGTGAATGATCGAGAAGTAGTATGCTTAGTAGATACAGGAGCGGCCGTGTCGTTAATAGATAAGAATTTATGTAAGAGTGTTAGTCCGTGTTCATTGACAGTACAAACAGTAGGCGGGCATGTGTTGCGTATAACGGGTAGATCGAACTGTACGGTCGATGTTGGCGGCTGTGAGGTGACGTTTCCTTTCATTGTTGTACCCGAACTACAGCGAACGATATTAGGAGCGGATTTTCTGCGGGAGATTGGTGCAATAATTGACACGCAAGCGAAAGTTGTGGTCACGAAATACGGGCGTATCAACATGTATGAGACCAGCGAGATAGAAGCGGTTAGGCTGTCAGCAGTACAGAATATGACAGAGTTAATTAATAAATACGATCATCTGTTCACTGGAGATGGGGACCCATACGGTTATTGCGATAAGGTGAATCATGAAATTCCGTTAAGTGATCCGAAAGTAAGGTCATTTATGACGCGAAGAGTTCCATGTCATCTGGAAGGCGAAGTGGAGCGACAAGTGCAAGAGATGTTAAAAGATGATATTATTGAGGAAGCTGATAGCCCGTGCAACTCTCCAGTGCTGTTAGTAAAAAAAGCGAATGGGAAGTATAGATTCTGTGTTGATTTTCGACAGTTAAACAGTATGACAGAGTTAGGACCGTGTGCCATGCCAACAGTGGTAGAAACCTTAGATCGCCTACAAGGTGCGAATGTTTTCGGTTCTCGATCTTCGCTCAGGATACTGGCAGATACCGATAAAACAAGGTGATAGAGATAAGACGGCATTCATTGATTGCGGCGGCCTGCTTGAACATAGGGCTACCAAAAATTCCACCTTACAACATTTTGCAAAATTGCTTTGGTTTGCTCTTTTAATTTTGTTTTAATTTATCAATAATGTGTCCTAATCGTATTATATATAATCGCGCATTTTTAAAATCATTACAACCTACTGCGTTGTGTCATCCACAAAAATTGAGAAAAAAGCATCACTGTGGCTGGCAGCGTGCACTGAAACGTACACAAATTAATCAAATGACTGTTCCTGAACTCGTTAGCACTAATTGTAGATCCCTGTCCAACAAAATGGATTACCTTCAATCCCTAATGTATTCCAATGTTTATCGAAATGCTGGCGTTTTAGCAATACAAGAGACTTGGCTGCACCAGCATTATGATGATAATCTAATTTCAATAAATGGATATAAAGTTTTTCGCCAAGATAGAAATAGTTCCAAGAAAAAATATGGAGGAGGGGTAGCCACATATATAAACACAAATTGGTCTACATCAAATCACGTTTGCTTCAATTATTCTAATGACAGTATAGATTGCATAACCGTCAGGTGTCGCCCAAAACACTTAAGTAAATATTCTTATATATACATAACAAATATTTACATAACACCCAATTGTAGCCTTTCTAATATAGTTATGTTTGCAGATGAGTTTACTGAATTCGCTGCTCCTGCATTCGGAAACTCGTTGTCTATAGTCTGTGGTGATTTTAATTTATGTGATCACAGCTTTCTTACTTCGCTTGGTCATGAGAATCTAGTCAAGTTTAATACACGTCTGGACAAATCACTAGACCTGGTTTTCATAAATGACCGTGATGTATATGAAACCCGAAGGAGAGCTCCTTTGCTAAATTCTGACCACTGCATTATTCGTATTTTACCGAAAGTGTACGGCAAGTCACAACGAAAATTGTTTAGTCATTTAACAAAGAAGATACATGAACGTTCATATTCCCATGACAACATTCTAGCATTAAGAAGCATGTTGCATGATACCAACTGGGAACTGTTTACTGACGATAAGTTGGATGCTACTGTCTCTAATATAACCGATTATCTGAAGTTTTGTTTGGATATTTGCTGTCCTTATGAAACACTGTTTTCGAGATTTGACAGAATCTCTTCTTTGCAACTGAAAAAACTTAGAAGACAAAAAGAGAAGTTGTATAAGAATTGTGATAATACTGGTGTCCGTAAAATAAACACCCTTATAAAAATTGAAATAGAAAGGTTGAACAGACTATATAATGAAAAATTTTTATCATGTAAAAATCCTTCAAACATTTGGAAACTTTTCAATAAACTAACAAGTAAAAAACAAATGTCCGTTGATGCTTATTCTGATGTAAATGCTTTAAACAAATCATTTATCAAGAAACAAATTAATATGGTTGTACCTGATGTACCTAGTCAAGAAAATGGTCATTTTCAGGGTTTTGAAGAAAAGGATGTACTATTATGTTTGAAGTCATTAAATCCAACACACAGCCTTGGTCCAGATGGTGTACCAAGCATTCTTCTCCAAAAGTGTGCAGACATCTTGTGTCATCCTCTTACTCAAATCTTTAACGCATCATTTAAGAGGGAAACGGT